AAAGACTCACGTCACGCAAAGGGACTGTTGTCAGCGCACAGGTGCTTGTCTCTCTCAGAACAGACAACTCTAAACGCGTCCCCGGAGGAGGAGGACTTGAATGAGGAAAACGACATTCTGAGAAACCAAAGTCCTTTTTCCCAAAGGTTCTGAAAGCAAAAGAAAAAAAAAAAGCAAAAAAAAAAAAAAAAGTAGTAAACCACCCCCCACCCCCCCTACACAAAGAACTCCCCCTCTTTTCCAATCTCCTGTCCTTGCCCCAAACTCCAACAAAAATCGCTCTCTGGTTTGCAGTCATTTATTTATTGTCCGCTGCAAGCTGTCCCGAGACACCGCGCAGGGAAGGCGTGCCCCTCGGAATTCTCGGCGCCTCGACCTCCGACGACAGACGGCCTCGTCCAATCACGGTGACCCTGCCTTGCTCGCAGCCTGCAGGATGCTGCTATGGACCTTCCGTGACCCACGTGACCTAGCACACCAATGATAAGGGAATATTTTAAAACCAGCTATATTATATATATTATATATATATAAGCTATTTATTTCACCTCTCTGTATATTGCAGTTTCATGAACCAAGTATTACTGCCTCAACCATTAAAAACAATCGACAAATTATTTAAAAAAACAAACAAACCACGAGGCATTGAGTGGTGGCCGGGGGCAGGGCAGGGCAGCCCTCTTGTGTTTCGTTCTTCTTGGTCTGTGGTCTTTGCACGGAGAGCTGGGGCCTTGCTCATTCATTCATTCAATGCATTCATTCACTCATTCATTCATTCATTCACTGATTTATTCAACACGAGCTATGCTCCTGGCACTGAGAATGCAGCCTTAAACATGGCAGATGGCAATCCTGGCCTTCAGCGAGATTACATTCTGATGAGCCATTGGTTCGATGATTGACTCAGTTGTGCGGTCGCATACATATACTCTCACACCATTTACTCAGCATTTCTGATGTGCCAAGGCTGTATTTGAGGCCCTGGGGATTTATCAAAGAACACAAGAAAAAAATCCCAGCCCTCAGGGAACTTCTACTTATCATAATTCATTGTTTCATTCATTGATCTATGGATTCATTTATTCAATATACCAGTATATCTCCTAAGTCCTCACTAAGTGCCAGGCACTCTTTTAGGTCCTGGGAATTCATCAGAGACCCAAACAGACAAAAAATAAAAACCATGCCTCATGGAGCTTGCAGGGCAGGGATTCCTCAGCGAGTCATTTGTGGAGTGTCCACTCCGGCTGAACAAGGCAGGGCGGCCCCGCTCTCCTCCGCCTGGTGGTGGAGGAGTCAGAGGGCAGGTCAGTGGGGGCCTGGTGTTTCCCTCCTCGGACCCTCACGGGCTGGAGCACAAGGAGTCTGTCTGGCCTCGTCGACTCCCAGGGCCTGTTCTAGGTCTTCCCAGGCTCTCCAGGAGCTCAGGGAGAGGCTGGTGAGCAGACTGGGCAGGAGATTGGCCGAGGTGGGTCCTGCTGGGGTCACCTGCCTCCCCGCCAGGAGAGGTCTCCCATGAAGCCCTGTGCAGAGAGGAGGGGGCAGGACAGGGGGGACGAGTACCTTCTCTGCAGGGGGTTCCTGGCTGTGGGGGGCTTGCCTGCCTCTGAGCTGTGTTCCCTCTGCAGCCCACGCCCACCTCGCAGCACAGGCGGAGCACACCGCTGGCTCTGTCCTGACTCTGCACCGAGTGTCTCTCTTCGTCCCCGGGCCCCGTCCCACGTGCCGTGGCTCGCGCTTCTGCCTGTCCCGGCCCATCTCCCTAGGGCTTCAGGTGCACAATCTCCTCGTGACCTCAGGACAGCCTGTGAGGAAGGTTCTGTCATTATCCCGGTTTCATAGACGGGACTGAGCTCAGGAACGTTAAGTCGCTTTCCCAAGATGACAGAATGAGAACGTGATGGGGCCGGTATCCAAATCCTAGACTCTCAGGACTCTAGTAGGTACCACTTGGTCAGTGCCTTCTGGTGTCAGCCCCCTGCTGGGTGCCTCACGCGCAAGCCTGGACGCCCACCGGACATCCCTGTGTGGGACGCAGGGAGTCCTGGCCTCCACGCCTGGCCGATGAACACAGGGGCTCAGAGAGGTCATTGCGGTGCCATGGCCTCCGTGAGCGGGACCCTTGGTGATGATAACAGTGATGGTGGTGGTTGTTTCCTGAGCACCTAGTATGTGCTAGTTCCATTCACATTCTACTAATTCCATTTAAACAGTAACCCTATGGGATGGGTGTGTGCTCTGTTCGGAAGTTTTGGCGAAGTGAAATGACCTGCCCAAGATAATTCAAGTTGGAAAATCGCGGATCCAGAATTCCGTCAATCGTCCATTCATTCGTCCAATAAATGTGTTGAGTTTACTCTGTGCCACATGCTATTCCAGGGGTTGAAGGTACAGCAGTGACCTGAGCAGAGCCCCTGCCCTTGTGGTCAGACATTTTCTTGGGAAAGAGCAATAATAAACCAAATAGTTATAAAATATAATGTCAAATAGCAGTCAATCAAAAGGAAAATAAAATAGGATGAGGGGATAGAGGATAATGGGGCTCCTATTTTAGATAGGGTGGTCGGGCAAGGCCTCTGGAGGGGGGGGACCCATGCAAACACTGAGGGGAAAAGCATTCCAGGCAGAGGGAACAGAGAGTGCTAAGGCCTGGTGGTCTGTCATGGAATAAGGAGGGGCCAGTGGGGCTGCTGCAGAGTGAACAGGGCGGGGGCAGAGCTTTCGAGGGTCTCGGGGCATGCCCGGAGCTCTTCATCGGAGTGAGATCAGATGCCCCATGTGGTACCCCTTAAAGGGACTGCTCTGGCTACGGTGTGGAGAAGGGTGGGCAGCGTCCAGCCTGGGGCCACCTGGTGTGAGGTCAGGCCTGGGCTCTCACCAGGACCCACCGCCCGCCTGCCCCCTTCCCCTTGCATCCTCGGGCTGCCTCCGGCCTCCATTCTCTGCCCACAGGCTGCCGGCACCTCCCATGCCCAACACCTTGCCCTTGCTCCACCAGGGGCCAGGGGCCAGGGGCCCGTCGTAGTTCCCTTCCCTGCCCCTCTGGACACTCCCGGAAGACGTGGGACCAGCTTCTGTTCACTGTAGACCGAGCTTTCTGGCCTCTTCCCGAGCTATGAGCAGCTTGTGAACGGTACGCACAGCGGGCTGGCGGGATTCCCCAGCCGCGGGTGATGTCTTCTTCGGGCACTTGCTTCAGGGAGGAGCCAGTGAGCGTTTCCACGGTCCAGCTGAGGAGGGAACCCCCGTCATCGCCCACCGCTTTGGGAGCTTGTGCCAAGCACAATCTTATCGAATCCTCCCAACCAGCCGTTGGGGCGGGCATTTTGGGCCCCACTTTCTAAGGCAGCTCAGAGCAGGGGAGCCACTTGCCTGAGGCCACGCAGCTAGGAACAGAGGAGCTGGGTGTGGACCCGTCTGCCTGTCCCTAGAGCTGTGGCTCCCCCTCAGCTGGGATGCTTGGGCTCTCAGCCTCTTTCCCCTCAGTCCCCTGGGCCTGCCTGGGTGGCCATCGTCTCCCAAGCCACCAGAGGGAGGAGGCGGGGAGTCCCCATTCCCAGGGGCCTAATGACAGCCCTTTCCCTCTCGGGGTCCTCCCCAGGATGTCCCTGTCGCAAGGGCGTGGGGATCTGGGACCAAGGCCCCTGAATTTGTTTTCGGCTTGGCCGCTTCGCCAGCTGTGTGACCTCGGACGCGTCCTATCTTTCCTGTGGGGCTTGGATTTCTCATCAATCCAACTGTCTGCCTTAGGGGCCGTTGCTGCTCAAGAGAGACAGCAGAGCAAATAACTGGGGATTATTCCTGCCCAGCAGAGCTGGAAGGGACGCACGCGGTGTTTTACCCACTCAGTCTTCTCCCTCCTTCTCCCTTCACCCTCGTCCCTCAAGGGAGGCAGCACCAAGACGCAGAGGAGAGAAGTGACTTGCTCCGGGCACCCTGTGAGTTCATGCCAGAGCCCGTTAGATGACCGACGACTAGAGATGACAGCAATATGACCAGGAGGGGATGTGGAAAAGGAGGCGCGTCGGGGCTCCTCCAGGGAGCTCAGGGCCAGGGAGCCACTTCAGTGACCAGCCAGGTCCCTCTCAGCATCCTTCCCAAATCTGCGTCTCCGACCCGAAGAAGCGGAGGGCAGGGAGGAGAGGGCTGAGGGAAAGAGGCTGAGAGCTCCATTCACATTCTACTAATTCCATTTAAACAGTAACCCTATGAGATGGGTTTTATAACTATAAGCTCACCCTCTGCCCCCCACCCCACAGTGATGCCATGGGAACGAGTGCCAGAAATGAGGAAAGACGGGCTCTTGCCCTAGTGTTTCAAGGGGTCCCGCAGGCAAGAATGGGGAGACCGGCCCCTGCATCAGGGAGGACATGACAACGAGGAGAGGCGGTGTCTGGGGTACTCCTGCCAAGCAGGTGAGCTTCCCTGTGTCCAGACCCTCACCCTCTGCCCCCCACCCCACAGCGATGCCATGGGAACGAGTGCCAGAAATGAGGAAAGATGGGCTTTTGCCCTAGCGTTTCAAGGGGTCCCCCAGGCAAGAATGGGGAGACCGGCCCCTGCATCATAGAGAGATTTGGGTTTGGGTGGGAGGGGAGGACATGACAACGAGGAGAGGCAGGCGGTGTCTGGGGTACTCCTGCCAAGCAGGTGAGCTGTGGGGACGGCACGGAAAGCCAGGCTTTGTGCAGGAAGCGAGGGAGGTGCCCTCGGGCTGCGTGCCCAGCTGGAGCCTAACAAGGCTGGCCTGGGATGCCCGGGGCTTGAAAGCCCCATAAACGGGCAGAACCCTCCCTCCGCAGCCAGCCAGCCAGCCGCAGGACTGGGCTTCCAGAGAAACAATAGTGAATTAGGTGTGAAAGATGTGAAGGCTGCTCCCCAACCATGCAATTAGGTAGCAGGTCTGTT